ATATACATATGTAATGTTGCGCATACTTACCGCTAGGTACAGCTCATCCTTCCCGCCTGGGCCCTGGCGTCCTGGCCTCGCCCCGGGGAAGGGATGGAGAGGGTCCCTGGGGAAGAGGGGTGCAGAGGGGGCCGCTCCGGGGCGGGGAGGCTCCTGGGAGGTGACGGGGCCCTCTGGAGAGAGGGGAGTCCGAATTTTAAGAGCTGGAAGGTAGCAAGGGCAGAGGGTGCAGCTCACCCCCCCCCCCCCCGCCCTCCTCCATCCTGCCTCCAGCCCAGCCCCTTACAGACAAGGTGCAGGCTAACCTCCCTGCTGAGCTCAGGCCTCCCAGCCCCTCCAGCTGTATCAGGTCGCGGGCATGGGGGCCTCTCTTACCAGGGCCCCCGTCTGGCCAGATCCTTCCCCTGCAGCTGCCAGCCCCTCAGCCTGGCTTCTTCACACTCCGAGCCTTGTCTCCGCGGCTCTGCAGCCATCTTCTCAGGTAGGGACGGCACTGCTCTCATCTCCACTTTGTAAACGAGGAAACCGAGACTGAGGTTAGGGCGCTCACCCAACGTCACGCAGCCGGCTGGTGCCAGGCTGGGGTTTTAAACCAGATGAAGGCTGCTGTTGCCCCCAAAGGGTCTCCTCGAGGGTCCGGGGCCTTGGCTGCCTGTTCTGGCTCCTCCGCTCAGCCTGGCCTCTAACCAGCCCATCGCCTCCGCCCTCCCGCGGCATGGCTCTCCCTGACAGACCTCAGTTCGTTCACTGAGTTGGACACCCTCCTCCTGCAAACTCGCGCCTGGACCTATGGGGATGGAGACTTGGTCAGAGACCCCGGTTAATCCGCAGGGGAGCTTGGAGATCAGGGCTACTCGCCCATGCGCCCCCCAATGCAGCGTCGTGAGGCTTTCTGAGCTGCTCATGTCCTCAAATGAGGAGTGCACGGCCCAGGGCCCAGCCTGGGGAGTGGTGATGCCGGCAGGTGTGTGAATGGGGCACCATCAATAAGCCCCTGGCCTCCCCCCCTCCCCCCCAATCAAAACCTGGTCAGTTTGGTCCAAGGAGACATCTGGTGGCCACTAAGAGACCCGCAGCCTTCTCGCAGGGAGCCCTGGGTGGAGGGATCAGGGTCTAACCAGTCCCTTGAGAGCCCCAGGGGTCTAACAGGACATAATCACCCTGGGGATGGAGCTTGTGGCGGGTCCAGGCCTCGGTGGGGGAGACCATGCTCTCTGTACCCTTCCCAACCCGAGAGCCAGGCCTGGGGGCGAGCTGACCTGGAGGGCGCTGGACAGAGGGAGGCGGGCCAGCAGGAGGATCCGATCCATCATTGTTGGTGAACAATGAGCCGTCACCACCCTAATTAAAGATGTAATTACAGCAAATACGTTCTGGGCTGAGAATGAATGACGGATGGCGGGAAGGCACCTTGTCGGCAGGAGATGCTGCCGCCTGAAGCTCCCCATTCCTAGTTGGGAAACCCTCCCCTCACCCCCACCCCTGAAGCTGGTTACAGGGTGTCCTGGTGCCTCCTGACAGGAGAGTGACAGACAGGAACTGAAGCTGGAGCTGAGGGGCCAGGCAAGGGCCAGGGTGGGGGTACTTGTTGGAGATGAGGGAGGGAGGGAGGCCCAGAGGCCAGAGTAAGAGGGCCTGGGCTGGTGTGTCTGTCAGGCAGGGGCAGGCCCAGCTAGGAGGGGGCATCACTAGAGCACAAAACCGTTTTCCAAAGCGCCCCTGCAAAGGCCAGAGGGACGGATGGCCAGTGATCCTTGGGCCTGGAGAGAGACTGCAGGGCCAGGCTGAGGGACTCGTCCTATTAAGAGTAACCATAGCAGGGATCTGGTGGGCCGTATCGGTGTGTGTCTGGCCCAGGTTCTGGGGACTGGGTGGTGAGGGACTCTCCTAAGGTCTCATTTGCCCTGGGGGGCAGGGCACAGGCCAGGGGCCTGGCCATTGAAGGGAGTAGAGGTGGGTTCCTCCTACTGCCCTGGCGGCTGCTGTTCCTCCTTCTGCAGGGAAGGCCCCCAGGCACCTCCTACTCCCATCCCAACTCCTGCCCAGGACCCCTCAAAGGTGTGGGCACTGGTTGCCCAGGGTTGCCCGGGTCTGGGACATCTTCCTCTATTTGGGATCTGCGCAACTTCAAGGCCCGTTTGCCCTGGGTCCCACCCCCCACTCCCGCTCAGGGACTAGGAGACCCTGAGCACAGGGTCAGGTCACTCTGAGGCCAGCCGCGCTGTGCCGGTCCCAGGGCCAAGGCAGGAAGGCCTGCCCGGATGGGGAGCTTGGCGGCCTTGGCCTCTGTTTCCATCTGCCCCTGTGGCCCCCGGCCAGGGTCCTTCAGGGTGTGGGCTGACCCCCAGGGAGAGAGGGCTGGGTAGGGGGCGGTGGGGAGCCCAGGCAGAGGCAGAGGGGAGGGAGGGAAGGCCACTGACAGCAGAACAAATGCTTGTAATTTTATAACCAATCTCAGCGTGTCCATGGGGGGCCGTTTGTGCCTCCACTCAGGACCAATCAGCCTGACAGAGCTATGAGTCTGCCTGAGTGAATGTGAGCAGCTTCCCCCCCCCAACACCACTTACTGCAATCTCATTACCCGCCCGCCCAGCCCAGGACCGACGAGAGCTGAGGGGCTGCGGGGAAGGGGGCCCAGCCCACGTGGAGCAGCGCCCGGGCAGAGCCAGGGCTGGGCCCGGTGCCAGGAGGGCAGGGTGGGCAGGCCTTGGACATCCAGGCTCAGAGGGAGGATGGGAGGGAGGTGGGCTCAAGACACTTATTTTGCAGCCATTGGTTGCTGGCCTTGTAGGATGGGATAGGGCACACGCCGCTGCCCTCAAGGGGCTTGCAGTCCGCTAGGGGCAGGGGAAAGGTTACAGAGGGAAGGGCCCCAGGGAAGGGGGAGATAGAGAAGTGACGGGAGGGTGAAGAGGCTGAAGGACAAAAAGGAAGGCCAGGAGGGCAGAGCCCCAGAGCAGAGCTGGCTCTGGGCAAGAGCAGGAAGGAGAGGATAGGGAATCAAAGGAGAGGGAGCCAGAGAGGCCCTGGGCAGAGGGATGCAGGCCGTGGTGGAGAAGTGCCCACCGAGGAGAGCAGAGGCCGGCTGGGAGGGGCTGGCGGCCAGTGGTGGATATTAAAGGACGGCCTTGCTGGATATCTGGCTCTGGGGATGGCTATGTGCCCATTAGTCTCTCTAATTGTCAAAAATCTAATTTAGTGTCTGGAGCCCAGGCCGGCCTCAGGTTAAATGGAGAGAGGCGGGCCTGGCCATAAATCTGCCCTCCCGGCCTGGGCTGGCGCTAATTCTGCAGTTAAGTGAGGGGGTGAGGAGGGCAGCAAGGTGGGACAGGGAGGGTTCTAGAGAGGGGCTCTCTCTGACCCTGATGCCAGCCCCCTCTTGCTGTCATGGCCAGGCCCCCCTTTTGCTGGAGGAAGGAGGACTGCCTGCGGCTCACTTGAACTATGCAGGGGAGGTACCTCCAATGTGTGAGCTCTTGGAGTCCCAGGGTCCCCAGACTCTCCTCCTCCCCAGCCCCCTGGGGTCCGCGGCCTATGAGGGCTCAGCTCTTGGAAAAGGACTGGGAGGAAGGTCACATTTCCTAATAACATCCTGAGCCTTTGGTGCGGAAAGGGACAAGGAGGTTCACACCACGTGACCGAGCGACCGGTCATTCTATTTACGAGGTGGCTGCTAGTGACGGCTTCAGACATGGGACCCACGGGGCCATTCCGCAGTGGGGAGAACAAACCAGACCCCCAGAGCACCACTGGGTGCGTGGGGACAGAACAGCCCTCCCTGCCAGGATGTGTGGCCAGAGGCAGGGGAAGGCTCTCCACCTGGGCTTGGTAATGACCTCACTCCCCTCAGAGATGCTAATTGAAAGCAAGGGGTGTGGTAGGCGCAGCGGGAAAGGTTGGGGGGCTGAGAGGTTCCCTAAGAGGCTCTGCTTCCATGGGGGGAAGAAAACGATTTCTCCTGGCTGCAGCTCCATCTCACCAGGCCCCCACCCGGCCTCTCCTGCTGCTAACGAAGTGCCTTTAATTAGCAGCCTAATAAAATGCTCTTAATTGGCAAGAGCCAATCAGAAAGAAGAGAGGTCTCCCACCCTCCGTCATTGTTGATGGTGGCGCAGCTATAGGTTTCAGGGGGAGGCTTTGGGAAACAGTAACGTCAGGGCTGAGTCTTCGGGGTGGGGACCTTCGACCCCAACCATCCTGGGGGAAGCTGACACTGGGTTTGAAGGTGCTCAATACTGGCTCTGGGGCCCAGCTGGCAAGTGGTCACTGCTGACTCCTCCCTCCCTGTCCTTGGTTGTCAGGTAGACCTAGCACGGTCTTGGGCAGTGTGGGGAGCCTGTTCCTGTGCAGGTTCCCCGTGTGCAAACACCTGATGCTCTGCTATGCCTCCAGCTCCCGCAGGGGTAGCTCTGCAGTGGGGCTGTCCTGACTAAAAGCCCAGATGTGACACAAGGATGGGCTATTGTGACTCCAGGAGGGGAGGAGAGGGAGAGGATGTGTAACCTTGTGCCTACTTCACAGGTGGTGGGTATCTAAGCATCCCCTTTTCTCCCAAAAAGCACCTGGATTCCTCCATAAACAAGCTTGCAGCCTAGCCCCAGGTTTGGTTTAAGGAGAGAAGGCAGGTGGGTCTCTCCCAGGGGGTCAGTGCCCCCTTTATTTGAACAGTGTGTTGGGAGTGGCTGAAAATTGCGCCAGAGTAGTGAGCTCACCTATCTACAAGTCTTCCTATCCTCTCGGGAGGCAGAGGACGACTTGGCGGTATGGGTGTGGGTATGGGTAGGGTTGTGGAGGTTATGGGGACCTGTACCCAAATTAGACATCAGTTTGGCTTAATTTAATTCAACATGGAACATTATTTGCTAGAGGCCCCATCATTTTATCCACACCATTTGGCCCTGACTTCTCTCAATGTTGTTTTCTCGTACTCTTTCGATCTGTATATTGAAAAACTCACTGACCTACTGATGTTAGGGCAAAGAGACAAGACACTTGGAAAATTCACTTTAATCTTATATTTGTAATTTAAGTTACTTTTTTCTGAACAGTTAAAAAAACCAAAACACACTATATTACCATGATTCTAAGTTGTGAACATATTGGTACATTGACTACACATCACCAAAACAGAATCACAAAAGTCAAAGCAGTCAGTACTTAGAGTCTAGAGAACAAAGGGCAGAACCAACTGGAAGCGTTCAGGGAAGCTCACATTGCTGCCAGGCTGCCCCAGGCCAGAGTCCAGGGAACACCCCCCTGAACAGTCTGGGTTGGGCTTGAGTGACCATTGACTTGGGGAGGTGTTAGTTTCCTTGGTACCCAGAGGTCTAACCCTTGTTTTTTTCCTTCAAGAAGGGAAAGGGACAGAGGGGAGGTGATGCTTTATAATGCTTTTTACCACACTCATCCTTACATGCACACACATGTCAGGAGCTGAGAGAGCCAGCTGGGTGGGCTGTAGAGCACACAGTTTAATGCCATCTGCCTCCAGGAAACTTTAGCACCTAATCATAGGTACTCAACTTCCAATAGGAAAGGTTTAAGGTTATCAATGCATTAAGTTCCACTTGAAATCAGGTTGCCATAATTACCATAACCATAATCAGGTTGCTCTTTTGGGTTCTCTTCTCAGTCCCAATGATTTGGAGTCACAAATGAAGTACAAGTAAAAACAAGCAGAGCTCAGCCTTATTCCCCTCAGAGACGGCTGTATGGAGCCCAGGGAGGACTCCACCTGCAGGCTCTGGGGGCCCATGATAAAGCGAGAGTTACTCTAAGAGGAAGAGAGGAAGGCAGGAGGAATAGGGCACTTTTCATGTTCTTTAGCACTTGGAAAGTCTGCTGAACTCATCTACATGGGCAAGGCGATCAGAAATGTGGACTTAAATCCAACAGTAAACCTGATCATCAGAGAATGTGATGGTCACAGGTGGTGGGTATCTAAGCATCCCCTTTTCTCCCGAAAAGCACCTGGATTCCTCCATAACCAAGCTTGCAGCCTAGCCCCTCAGGCTGGCACCCTTCTGGGTTGGACTGCTCTCACTCCGGCAGGAAGGTATTACCTTCTAAGGTAAATGGAGGACACCAAGAAGTTAATGATACCAATGTAATATAATTTACATTGAAATTACAAGAAAATAATGCCTTCATTATTTCCACTATTCCCCACCCCCTCCACCCCAGCCTTTTGTTTCCACACACCATCGAATGCTAGGCAAGGACAGCAACCCCTTACAATGGTGTTCAGACCAGTGGGCACCAAGCGACGGCAAGGAGAGTGCCTGTTTTCTTCTCTTCAGCTTTTGATTTTACAAAAAACAAAACAAAACAGGATTTCTCTTACTCAAGCAGAACGCAGAATGATTTAGGGGTCCCAGGGTCCTTTCCAGTTCAGAAACAAGTTACGAGGGCCAGACTTGATTATCTGTCAACAGAGTTTCAGAGGGGTCCTGTCCTGTCTCTATAGAGTTTCCGGCGAAGAGTCACCAGGGTTTTGCCCAGGGACAGAGTAAAAGGCTTTCCGTTCCCAATCCACATCCGCTTTCAGACTGCACATAGGAAGTGGAAGGATGTTCTGAGGTGGGAATACACACGTGCAGCAAGGCATGCGGGTGTGTCCGAGCAGCCCGGGGGTGAGCGGAGCTCGCCGGCCCACAGGGCTCCCGGGTGAGTGCGTGCACACCCTCCTCGCCCACCTCTGAAGGGGCTTCCTCCTGTCCCGAAGGAACATTTCTTTCAAACCACATTGGAATTCTAATGGGAAGAGACTAATCTACAATGGAGACATCTCATTTCAGAGCCCAGAGACTCCTTCGGCACCTTTCTACCATTCCTTTAATCGTGTTGAGACTTTCTTTGTTTCTCTTTTTTAAAAAGGTCAAACTTTACATTTATTCTAGCCCAGTTGGGGATTAGTGATAATCAATTCCCACTGAAATCATGCAGAGATGGTAAGTGGGGTTTACTTTCTCTGGAAATGAACTTTTACTTACCTGATTGTTTCTTCTACAATGAACTGGTAAATGACCCCCCGAGCTGAGAAATGTGACTGACTCAAGTTTTTCAGACCACTTAACTTCACTCCCATTTCCATCAGGGCGGAGGACAACCTGGGGAAGATCCTCGACAGAGCGAACCGCGCAGGCCGAAGGGCCCACCTCCATCTCACTTCTGATGTGACAAGCTTCAGAACAGTCTTAAAAACAAGCTACCTCCAAGTGAACTTCGACGGGAGAGGCAAGCCCTGTGCACCATGAATAGTCAACAGCTCTCATGTTAGAACAGCAGCATTTTACAGAAGGGCTAGTAAAGTTATGGCTATTGGACAATACTTTTAAACAGCTTAAAATCCATGCCTCTTCAATGCCTGAGCTGTGTGTCTTTTAGGCTGATGGTCTTGTGCCTCATCTGTAGCAAAACTCTCAACCAATCAAAAAGGCATTAATAGTCAACACAATGGACAAGGAACCATGAGAAGCGACTAGATAGAACACACTTCTCTAAAGAATGGATAGTTGGGAAGGGAATGTTTCTCAAAAAATATTTCCTAGGCAATGACATTATCATCACACTGGGAAATACTTTCTGAATATAACCTGGAACTAAAAGCTTAAAAGCACTCATAAAGCAGGAAAGAAAAATGCATATGCATAACCTACCTCTTAATATGTAATAACAACATTCAGCCTGGACACATTTTGGGAAGAGGACACCTTTTTACAAACCAGAGGGAAGATGGCTTTCTCTCATCTTTCCCCTTTGCAGAACCAAAGGTGGCCTAGCTTTGAGGTTACTTGCAACTGGCTCCCATTCTGATGTTTTTTACAGCTGCCAGTTAAAAAGGGACTTTCTTTTGCTCAACTGCTCATTCAGGAATGGAAACAACAGGCCAGACAGCTCAGCCTCCAAGGAAAACTTGAGGCTGTACTGTGGCCTCAGGGCTTTGGGTGGGTGTGCCGTGCCACCAGAAATGACTGGTGCAGGCCCACTCCCCTCCCCAGAAAACAAGCTGGGCGCACACTGGTCGTATTCCGTGCTCCAGGTTGGGTGGCACAGGTGCCTGCACCTGAATCCCACACAGCTGCCTTCCAAGTGGCTGGTCACCCTGGCCCTTGCTGAGGTCCACTTGTTATTAACTAACTCTCAGAGTTACTGGCTGAGGGAGAGTGGAGAGTAAAACATGCCCAGGAGGAGGGAGAAAAGGAAAGAGAAGGCAGTTTCTGCCCCAGTAATAAACCCTGTGTGCCAAACGTCACCCTGATCTGCTCTCTCCGGCAGCTTTGCCCTTTGAAAATACCAGGTTTGGGAAAAGCAGAAGGTTGAGATGACTAGCCTGATTTTTGGAAATGGAATTTACTGGCCTAAATGAAAAAGAAATAAACTTTTAATCCCGACCACCTCTTAAGCTACTCTGACGGTGGTCGCAAAGACACAGGTGCCTGGGCACTCACAGGCCCCGAGGAGATCTGAGATGTGAAATTATGCAGAGCGTACCAAGCGACTGGCTGCGGCCATTTCAAGCCTTCCTGTAGGCTGAGCCTTACCAGTGATTTAAGATGAAGTACAATGCTTTTTATTACACATCTAATTGTTAATGAGAGGAAATGCAATCAGCAGCTCCTTTTCACACTCTACATGGAATCGAGGAGACCGCTGAGTCCAGAAAAGATGTGGCCATTGATGGAGCCCAGGAAATCTCTGCCCCCTTTTTGGGGAGAGGGCGTTAGGAGAAGAGAGGAGAGTTGCAAATGTGGAAGTACCATGTCTGAGAACCCGTTATTGTCATAGAGGGTCACTTATAGCAAAAGCCTCATTTTGAAATTTTAACTGAACAGCATTTAACTCTTTCCAAGTGTTGCATTTTCTAGCCGAGTTGCCTCATGCTAACTGATGACACTTTCTTCATCCTCGTTCTCAGGCGGAGCAGAGAACAGCTGAAGGGGTGGAGAGAGGAGGGAGAGGGACAGAAACAGAGAGAAGAGATGGAGGAAAGAGGCCCAGATCATCAAGTGTGCTCATTCTTCTTGTCTCTCTTTCAGGACCGTGTCTCCTAAGCACAGTGGGGCTCGCTGAGCTTGCCAGGCGCTGGGCATTCCTGTAGTTCCCGGGAGACACGGGGTGCTGTCTGGCTTGAAGTTGCATCCCCCTCTCCCCTAGAAGTGGGTCTTTCCCAGCAGGCTATATAGGGAAACTAGTTCTTCTGCTTAACGGCAAAGCAAGAGAGATTCTGGCAAAACATTAAATATATTTATAAGTCATCTTTGTCTGGAACCAAATGAGGAAAAAACAGGTGCACAGGGGCAAGGAGGAGGGGAAGTGAGGTGAGGTTTAAAAGTTCTAATCATTCACGAAAGATAAAAGACATCTGATAGCAGCACGGGAGCAGTCAGCTGTGCTGAGGAGACCCTCCTGAGTCGACTGCAGACCACTGTGTCCCAACAGGAGTCTCAAAGCCCCACTCCTCGGCTAGTCCGGGGAAAGTGGGTAATATTTTGATTGTTACTGTTGTTGCTCATCCCGGTATTGGCAGATACGTTAAATACCGCAACTTTAATGAGTCCTGTGTGAAAACAGAGCAAATAATCATTAGTCCTTCTCCCTGTAGTTCTCACTTGCTCTTTGAGAAAAAGAACTAACTTAGCTGTCAGATAGGAAAAAGGCTCAGAGGTCCTTCGTAATGCCTGCTCTTGGCCTGTGCTAAGCAGGAGCTTCTGTTAAAGGCTATGGCCTGTCTGGGGACTTGGCAGGGGCCTCAGTGGCCTGTTCAGGGCCACAGCGCTTACAGAGTGACTACAGTGGGTGTCTGCAGAGACAGAAGTGTAGGTGGTAGCTGGATATGTGGCTTGGAGACCAAGGCAGAGGTTGGGACTAGAGATACAAATTTGAGAGTCATCTACTCTGAGATGAGAGCTGAAGCCTTGGGAAGAGACAAGGCAGCCGAAGAAGGGAGCTTAGATAAGGAAGAGAGGCCTGAGACAGACTCTTAGGGGATGTGTGTGTTATGTTTCAGGGGTGAGAGGGGAAGGAGACATAAGCCATAAGAGCATCAGGAACAATTATTAAATATGGCAAAATGCCATAAAAAACTCAGGAGCAGAAAATTTTGGCAAAAGGAGGGGATAGGTAACATGATTACAATGTAAACACTAATAAACCCCTTTTTCCTAAGGACTTGTTAGGTGCTAGGCACTGGGCCAAGCACGAAGAATTTTACATATAACATTTCAATGCAATCCTCACAACAGCTCTGGGTACTGCAGCCCTCATTTTGCTAATAAGGAAACTAAGGCTGTGGGAAGTTACTTGCCCAAGGGCACACAGCTCAGAGTTCTCTCCAAGGTGTGCCTGTGTGACTTGGTTGAGGAGGCTGAGGGATGAGGAAGCAGCATGTCCTCTGTAAGAAGTGAGCACTGAAAAGAGCCCAGCAGGCACAGACCACCCCTCTCAGAAGAACCACATAAAAAGATGTGCAGAAAGGTGTACTGAATGTGCACTTCTTCCACAAGCATCGAGGCAAGTGTGGGAAATGAGAAATCACAGTGATGGCAAGGCTCCCCAGCAGTAGTGCGGTTTCCCCAAACAACGATCACGATGTATGAATATACCACAAAATAGATAAAGATGAATTTTAGGATCTCTTCCTGCCTCTGAGGGAGGATGAAGACTTGAGTGGGAGAACACATGGAATTCTCACCAACTCCAGAGCCACTTCCAAGGTCAAAAGAGGAGGTGGGGAGTGAGGATAAGCATTTTAAAAAGCTACCCTTTTAAAGTCAAATGACACTGACAGAGCTGTGAGGCCAGCATATTTCACCATGAGATTTCCCCCTTGGTACATTAGACTACCTAATTGATTTAAAGGGGCTTTATTACAGGTACTGGTTTAATCTGGGAACTACAAAGCCACAGGTTTTTGAGTCATTACTCTTAGTTTTAAAACTGATTCAAATATTTTTTGAATATTTATTTATTTTGAGAGAGAGCACTGATTTGTTGTTCCACTTATTTATACATTCATTGGTTGATTCTTTTTGTGGCCTTACCGGGCTGACCTGGGATGGAACCTGTAACTAGGCGTATCTAGATGATGATCTAACCAACTGAGTTGCCCAGCCAAGGCTAAATCTCTTACTTTCTGAACAATTCTGTTAGATAACTGGGGCAGGAATTACTAGTTCTACTGCACAAGGGCCATCTAGATCGAATTCCAGGATCATCTAGAACTGAGGCTGGTTTCCTTGATGAAGGCAGCATCCAACAGGCAGCCTCAGCCCTGTCTCGTGATGGCAGCTCCCCTTGCTTTTCAGGACTTGGAAAGATAAAGGACACGAGAAGGCTCCATGAACTAGCAACACCTTACAGTCAACATTCCATCTCCTACTCACAGTGCCATGCACACAGTTCTTTTTCATACCTGGGCCAGTATGAGGTCAGTGTACGATCATTTATCTGGAGATATAGGTGTATGTTCGAGAAGGGGAGCGGGGGGGTTCAGCTTGGGCAGTTGGATCATTTAGAAAGTCCCAGATGAGGATTGTGTCATCGTGTGAACTACTGACAATCTGGAATTCATCAAACTGGAGTCGGAAAACTCTTCCAGAATGCTCCTAAAGAAGGAGAAACAGAAACTTCTGAACTACTCAGAATCAAAAGGACAAATTCAGCAACATGTTAAAAGAAGTCTAGGAAAAGGCTATGTTATCTTGATAATAACCAGTTAACAGAATAAAGGTAAAAATATAAGATTATCTCAATGGATGCAGATGAAAACATTTAACAAAATCCAACATTATTTCTATTAAACACTCTCAGCAATCAAGGAACAGAAAGGAACTTCTAATACCCCTGATTTTATCTACGAAAAACCTAAAGCTAACACACACACACACACACACACACACACACACACACGGTGAAAGACCAAATGCTTTTTCCCCAAGAGAAGGACATCCACTGTTAATTCTTTTGAACATTGTACTGAAGATCTTAGTCAGTACAATAAAACAAGAAAGAGAAATAAAGATACACAGATTGAAAAAGAACTAAAAGTAATTTGTACATACTTGCAAAGAACAATCCAGAAATTTCAAAATACTATAATAGCATTAAAATATGAAAATTTTAATATGACAAAAGATGTATAAGACCTTTAACATCGACAGCTATAAAATATTTTTGAGAATTTTTTAATAAGACTTAAACAAATAGAGAGATATACTGTATTCATGGATCAGAAGACTCAGTATTGTTAAGCAGTTACTTCTCTCCAATAGAAATTGATCTGGATTTAACACGATCCCAATGAAAATCTTAGCAGATTTCTTGGGTGGGGTGGTGTGGGGTAAAATTGGCAGATTCTAAAATTCACATGAAAATTCAAAGAACCCCCCCCACCCCGCAAAAACAAAACACCAAAAACTTTGAAAAGTACGAGGTTGAAGGACTTACATTACTTGCTTTCATGAGTTATTAAAAAGCTGCAGTAACCAAGTTAATATGATACTGGTATCAAAATAGACAAACAGACAAAAAGATAATTGGAATTGAGAAGGTCCATAAGTACACCCCCACATATATGGTTAACAGGTTTTGACAAAAATGCAAAGGCAATTCAGAGGAAAAAGGATAGTCTTGCATAAATGGTACTGGAACAACTGGATATCCATATGAACTTTGAACCATACCTTATACCAGTGATCAGCAAACTGAGGCTCGAGAGCCATATGCTAGACTCCGACCACTGACCTAGACTCTCGATTCCAATAATTATGCGCTGTTGTTGTTTCTTGTGATTAAGTCCCTATCCAGTGATCGGCAAACTGATTAGTCAACAGAGCTATAGTTTGCCGACCACTGCCTTATACCATCCACAAAAATTAACTCAAAACTCAGTAAGAAACCTACTCAATTAAAAAAATGGGCAAAAGATTCAAACAGACACTTCACCAAAATAGGTATCTGGATGGCAAATAAACACATGAAATGATGCTCAACATTAATATTAGGAATATGCAAATTAAGACACAATGAGGTACCACCAGACACTTAGAATGACTCAAAAAGACTATACACTAAGTATTGGTGAGGATGTGGAGTAACTGCACTATTGTATAGCAATGTTAAATGGTACAACTACTTTGGGAAATAGTTTGGCAGTTTCTAGAAATATTATACATTTACCATATGATCTAGAAATTCTGCTCCTAGGATTTATCAGGGAGAAATGTAGGCATATGGTCACATAAAGATTTGCACATAATGTTTATAGAAACTTTATTTGTAATAGCCCACAACTGGAAATAATCCAAATTTTCATCAACTGGCAAGTGGATAAATTGTGGTATACCCATACAATGAAATACTACTTACCAATGAACTACTGATTTACATCAACAACACAGGAGAATATAAAAATAATCAGACTTAATGAAAAGAGGCAAAAAAGAGTACATACTCTTTTTTTTATTCCATTAATTAAACCATAAAAAATGCAAACTAATCAATATTGACAAAAGCAGATTAGTGGCTGCTTGGGGACTGGAGCAGAGGGAAAAGGGCAGAATGGGGAGGGAGTATTACATAGGGGGCATGAATATACGTTCATTATCTTGGTTGAAGTGATAGTTTTATTGGTATGTACATATGTTAAATTTATTAAGTTGCATATTTTATTGTATGTCAATTATATTTCAATAAATTCTTTTTAAAAATTTAAGACAACTCAATAAATGAGGACAAGATTTGAACAGACACTTCACAAAAGAACATGAAAAGATGTTCTACACCATTAGTTACCACAAAAATGCAAATTAAAACTATAGCCATTATACACTTATTCAAATGGCTATTAAACAACAACAATAACAACAACAGATGATACTACCGTGTTTCCCCGAAAATAAGACCTACTTACAGGTTTCCTTCTGAGTGAAATATAAGGCATCCCCCCGAAAATAAGGCCCCCCCCCAGGCTAAACATGAGAGATTTGGTCCACTGATTCTGAAAGAAATGGAGTCACAAGAAATTCACCAGAAAATTCAGGAATTGGATTGTTAGGATGATGTTCCAGAAGATGATGACATGATTGTCATTGTATAAATAAGTAAATTCTTGATACTATAGGATTCAGTTTGTCTGGTTTGTGTTGATAACTACCGTACTACCATACTGTATACAGGTAATAAATTTCCTTTATTTTCATTTAACAATAAATGTGTACCGTATTCTTCTTCGTGGAAAAATAAGACATCCCCTGAAAATAAGACCTAGCGCATCTTTGGGAGCAAAACTTAATATAAGACACTGTCTTATTTTCGGGGAAACAGGGTAGCTCTGGTCAGTGTGGCTCATTTGCTTGGACATAGTCCCATGCAACTAAAAGTTGCTGGTTTGATTCCTGGTCAGGGCACATGCCCAGGTTGCAGGCTTCTGGTAGGGTACATGCAGGAGGCAACTGATCAATGTTCGTTTGCATCAACGTTTCTCTCTCTCTCACTCGCTCTTTCTAAAAATCACTTAAAAAATCTTAAAACAACACAAAATTGACAATACTAAGTGCTATCAAGGATGTGCAAAAGTGGGACTCGCATACGTTGTTGGTGGGAATGTAAAGTGGCATACATTTGCAAACTCCCAAAATGCCACTTTGGAAAATAGCTTAGTACTTCTTTTAAATTTAAACATACAATGACTATAGAACCCAGACATTGCAAATATAGGTATTTACCCAAGAAAAATGAAACAATATGTACATACAAAATCCTGTATGGGGATGTTTTCATATCACCTAAAGCTGGAAACATCCCAAATGTCCTTAAGTTGGTGAGTGAATAAACAAATTGGTTCATCCGCACAATGGAATACTACCCAACAATAAAAAAGAACTTAGTACTAACATATGCAATAACATGGATGAGTTTTAATGAAGTAAAAAGAGCCAAAGGCAAAAAGCTACATACTATATGATTTAATTTATATGACATTCGTAAGACAATAAAACTACAGGAACAGAAATGAGATGAACAGTTGCTGGGGGTGATTCTAAGGGACACAATTTTGGGGAGATGATGGATATTTTCTATAATTTGATTGTGGTAGTTACACATCTGTAAAATTCATAATAGTACGCTAAAAATGGACACATTTTGCTGTATGTAAATTATACTTTAAAAACCAAATCTAGATTAACTATAAATGAATGAAAGTACACATTTTAAAAAACATGTGTAAAACATGAAAGTAAAGCATGTATAATACTGAAACAATGAGCTTTAAATCCAACAGGGAAGACAAAGAAATGTGTCCCTCTTTTTCAGAGCAGAGAATACCTAAATGCTGAGCCAGGATTCAGAATCCTGGGTCTTCAAATGCTTGCTCTCATCTTTTCCCTGAGTTGTGCAAAAGGCTGTCTTCTCTAGTGCCCCGCCTAATCGTTTTCTAATCGAAGCAGCTTTTATACTTAGAACATTTTCTAATCCAGGCCTTTGGCATGATAAAGAATTTAGTGCTTTTGAAGGTGATATAAGTTCTTTTAGAGTCACTTCTTCTTCCAAATGTCAAGATGTTCAGGCAAGGGAGTACACACAAAGAATGAAAAAGATGGGATTCAAGTTGCCGGAGGCAGCATGCCTTGAATAGGATGAAGGACTAGGGCTGACCAGGGGCTCACACAGACTCCCATGGCACTTTTTGCAGGCACAGGTGTGCAGGTCCTCAGATCCTGGACAGGTTCCAATATGAGCAATGACGTTCCTTCTCCCTAAGTACCCCCTACTGCTTCTGGTGGATACAGAATTCTTATTCACTTCCTGTACCAGACTGATGTGGAGAGTTGCTGTGCAGCTGTTAAACAGCTGCCACATTTCTCTCCACATATAGTCTCTAAAGCACTTTTGGATGAAAGGCGCTATATAAACATATTTTATTGTCATGTATTGGCTGCCTTTCCACTTAGTAGTAGGTTTTGTGAGGTTCTAACTATCAAATCCAGATCTGTATTCCACAGTACATCAGTGTTTAATTTCTTCTCCTTCCTACCCCCCAACTTCCCTTAAACATTAGACTCTTACCACAAGCGTCCGTAGACAGAGAGTCCCTGCAGGAGCACGGGGGTCCAAAGCAGCTACAAGATCCCACACTTTAATTTTCCTAGAGATCAAAAAGGGGACAAAAATCTTAATTAAAAGCAAAATTAAGGGAGCACAGGAAGAATAGCAAAACGTCATGGCAATAAATATGTATGGTGAATATAGTTTATATAATAAATGCAGCTCACAGGAATATATAAAAACTTTTTTGTTTTGGAGACTTGGTTCTTATATTCATTCTTGATCTTAACAGGGGAAAATATATGTAGTTAACCTAAAAACAAGAAACAGGTTAGCTTTAACCAAACTGATGAAGACAGTGAATGGCAAAGCTACACTATACTTTGGGGCTAAGAGAAGATCTTATATATTAGGCCTCTTAATAACGTAACAGATCACTTAAACCTACAAACCTGTAACTCTGAAGCATCTTTGTTTTGGTCAATTCTAAGAATGGCACAAGTCACATGAACCAGAGGACTGGGGTCTATTTAAGAGTTCTGGAATTTATATTAAGAATCCTCATATTTTGATTTAAGTAAGAAAAGTTTAGCCCTTCTAAACTTTTAATTATAGGTCATGTTTCCTCATGATAAATGACACATAAAACCCAAGAAAGGTGGATACAGATCAAAACCATGGGAATGAGAAAACGTAACCTTGGACCTAGCTGGAACATGTTATCACATCCTGAACAATTTCCCAAGGATATGAGAGTGATGGTTGACTCCAAGAACAAGTAGTAGGTCTGCTACACTTCCTGCTGCTTGAATTATCTTAACATATCAGTATAGTCAGTTCATCTACTAAGATAATGTTAAGTTAGTTTCTGATATTTAAAAAGCTGCCAATATTTGAACGGTAGCTTTGTACCCTGACAAGAAGAAATGATAAAGAGATCTACATAAGTGAATATACTTTTTATAAGAATTTACTATGTGCTTAGTATTGCTAAACATGGGATTCATCCATATGAATGGATTCTATATTCACCGAAAATCAGACTGCTAAAATAAAAACTTATTGAACTCATTGTAACTGAAATGCTAGAAGAAGCAAAGACAAGGGAACTGCACTTTTGGAAACATTCAAAGATATAAAAATTTAAGATCCGACCACATTAAGCCCCAGAGATATTGCCCTCCAATGTTTTAGTTTTATAGTAAGTCACTATTTTATATGTATATCTTGTTATACTAGATTTGTCCAATTCTTTGCTTTATAGGGAAAAATGGAAAACATATAACCAATATCAACTAACAGTCATGAGCAAAAAAGGGCAATTAATGGAAAGAAAAATGGAAAACATATAACCAATATCAACTAACAGTCATGAGCAAAAAAGGGCAATTAATGGAAAGAAAGGAGAGGTGAATACATAAATTAGTCACAAGGACTATTGTACTGGGTCCTTTCTGTGAAATCTATAATCTTTTAGACACAAGGAAAGGCTATATTTAACATCCTAAGGCAGGAGAGATTAAGATGTAGATACAAACTCACCCATCATAGGCTCCACTGACTATCCTCTTATTATCAAATCGAATACAGCGCACCAATTCCTCATGGCCTTCTAACACTCGTAAACATGCACCACATTCTATGTCCCATAATCTGGAAAAGAAAACTGAGTCAAGTGAATTCTCATATATTCATTCCTAAGCTTGGAATGTTATAATAATATACTTCAAATGTTTTTTTAAAAGTCCCTAAAATAAACATCCACGCAAAAATGTACTGCTTTCAATGTAATTTATTTCTTTTCTGCCATATAACTGAGGTAGAAAAATGGATATTTTAAGTTCAAACATAGTATATAGTTTCATTTGCTTTATATAATTTTGTAACCATACCAGTAAATGCCTGTGAAGGAAATGACCAAGCCAAGAAAAGCAATGCTTCCTGAAATCACCAATAAGAATGAGATGAAGAATGTCAGTGACATCCTGACCTCACAAAGAATGTCCACCTCTTTCCTGAGGACACTCTCTGCTTTCACCTATTACAGGATAATCTTTCTCATTTAATGGAAATGCAAAAGGAGTTCTCAAAAACTTTTATATGTTAATATACAAAAACTGTATGCTTTCAGACCAATCCATATGATTTCTAGGAACGATAATTTCATCCTCTTAGTACTTTGAAGGAATTGAGAGGATTGATAAATCATCCAAATACAATTTATATCTGCGTTGTTCATCTTTGTGATGGAAAAACACCAAAAATACTTCAATTAGTGGATTTTTTTATAATTTCAGACTGGTAACTCCATGTCCAATTATGCTATTCTAAGAAAATAAAATGCACGCTTGCTAGCAGTGAAAAAAATCTTGTTTCTTATTTTTAGACCATGGGCAGACAGAAATGGCTCTAGCTATTTATTAGCACTTTCCAACTGCAGACAGGTGAAATTTAAAGGGAAGGGCTTTCAACCTCAATCTGCTTATCTCTCTTGCCCACTTCCTCATTCAAGCAGTACCTTTTAAATAGGTCTATCTGGTGATATAACTATTACAGGAAGGAAATACATTAACAAAAAGGATTTGCTGTGCTGCCTCTCTGCTTGGGGCAAACTTTTGACCTGAAAGAAGCTACAGAAAGAAAAAACATTTTATAATAAACGTAACACAGTTGAAGATTTGTTTGAACTGTGCACAAACAATGAGTGGTAGGATGATGCTGATCCCTTCCGGACAAGACACCTGGTGCTCACCTGATAGTGTTGTCAGATGAACCACTAACCACCAGCCTGTCTCTGTACTGCAAACAGGCGATGCCACGTTTGTGTCCATTTAAGGTCCTCACAAATTCACAAGTACTAGTGTTCCATACCTGAAACAGAATATGGCATTTGGCAGGTGATTTGGTGCTCTCACTAGTAATATCTACGGCAAGTGGAGTCCTGGAGAGGCAAGGACTACTAAACCAAGTCAAGTTCTCAAGCCAAACCAAACCAATGACAAGTTTGATTCATGGTAATATAGGGCTAATTTGTAGCTCATTGCTATCACATAAGAATTTCTCAAATTGATTTACTCTATGGTGTTAGTCTGGTCTTACAGACAAATTTTCTTTTCTTTAAAAAAAAAAATATTTTATTGATTTTTTTACAGAGAGGAAGAGGGAGGAATAGAGAGTTAGAGACATCGATGAGAGAGAATCATCAATCAGCTGCCTCTTGCACACCCCCTACTGGGGATGTGCCCGCAACCAATGTACATGCCCTTGACGGGAATCGAACCCGGGACCTTTCAGTCTGCAAGCAGACACTCCGTCCACTGAGCCAAACCGGTTTCGGCCAGACGAATTTTCTTGAACCTAAATTGACTCCTGCCCTTCCTACACTCACCATTATTTATAGTACTAAAATACCTAACCAAAATTATCACACAATTTATCTCATTTATTATCTTTTTACTTAAATATTTAATTAGTCTATAGTGATGTTTTAATATGAAATAGCACTTAATCAGGTTTTCACATGAACTCCCTTACTCTTAAGTTGGACTCTTACCTTTATAGTCCTATCTCCAGATGCAGAAACAATGTACTTGTCATCAAAGTCTACAACATTGACGGCAGCTCTGTGTCCGACTAGCACCCTCCGGAGGGTAATGTCAGTTGGGGAGGCCATATCCCATACAGCAATGGAACGGTCTTTGGAGCAGGTCACCATCATGCCATTATTGAAACGCAAGTGCAGAACTGCTTCACAATGATGAATCAACGTGTTTAGCATTTCACCTGTATTTACATCCCACACCCTGGAAAAAACAACGGTAAGAAGGCTATCTGAGATTTTGATGGGGGTACTAATGCTACAATGTACTACCAATATTTGACCACTGTGCTTCCCACCTCTCTTACCCCACTTTCACACTAGTACTACACCCTAGTCTTCTTCTGTATTTTAAAAATTGAACAGAGGTAAAGAATACTGATGAATCACAGGGAATTGGTAGATAGAGGGCTGGGATAGGAGAGTAGGAAAAGCAAGAAGATAGGATGCTGCCAATGTGAAATGCTTAAAGACACACTACTTCAAATGTGGGCATGTGTAGGGAGTAGGAATGAGGTAGCAGCCACATCACCTACTAATTGGGCCCAGATCTCAAGATTATAATAAAATTTCAGAAATTCAATCTAATACCATTAAGAAGATACATTTGAAACTGGGATCTGATTAATAATAGCAGCATTAGTGTCCTATGGATAACCCTCAGGAACTAGAACTAATATAGGTCAAGAAACTTCTGTAACAGACTGAAATTTCTATAACAGATTGATTTATGGATTTGATCTTGATGTCCCTGAATCTAAGATTTTACCACACAAGTCAAGGCCCAAGATTACTTAGATCCTAAGTGTAAGGTTCCACTTCTGAGCTTTGAATGGGGGTTGGGATCAAGAAGGGCCAACATCTGTAAACATAGGCTTCACAGTAGGGAATAAGACCCTTAGATAGCTTGAGAATTTTATGTGACAAAATATAGTATTTGACTTTGATATTCTTATTTTTGTATATTTACTTTGGTTTTTATAACACAAGTTATTCCTTTTTCCAGATTAACTCCCTTTTTCAGAAAATCATTTTTTCCCTTATCCTATCAATGATGTTAGCCTCTACAACGTTTCAGCTTCCTTGAGGCATTCCACATGCACCAATAAATGTTAGATGTCGATAACTGTAAGAAGTGAGTTTGCTATGCCTTTAAGTCAAAAGACAAGAAACAAGAACAGTCTTTTCTAATCACAGAGGATAACTGAGAATGGTAAACAATTAACTTCAGAGAATCTAACAATGCAGTTAACTGCTTTCCCCCTCTATTTTTAAAAAAGTTACTTCTGATGCATTATGTTTGCTAAATCCTTTAGCTTAAGGCAAAATTTCTAACAGAGGTTTCCAACAGTGCTTCTGGTACCCAGAACTCAAGCTACACTGGACTCCAGCAGCATAATGGCTGTGTCATCAAATTACTAATGCCTCTGGAAATTGAAGGCCCCTCCCTGAGTGAAGCTTGCAATTAAAAACTGCAGGGACAGCAGGGGAGGGGCTGCAAAGAGCGAGCATTTCTCACCTGTACACATTTTAAAGGAGATAACACATTCCTGCACTACAGTTATAACCCCTGAAAGGAAGGCTTCATTTCATTCATGTCATTCCCTTGTGAGGTGGTTTTTGAAAGGAATGCAAGGTTTACCAAGTTTCTGTAATGGATGACTCCAGCAAATTAAAACAGAATGTGTAGTTTCTTATATGTATAAAAATGTAAACTTACCTTAACCATTCCTAATTCAAGTTTTTTAGTTCTAGATGAACACAACGATGGGGGGAGCTAGTTTATTCTTCTTCAGTTATGAAATGTTAGAACTGTGTTCATGCAGATACACACAGAATTACTATCTATGACAAAGACAGAGTGGATCTGATATTTCAGAGCTCAAAAAAATCGTTTGAAATTTTCTACCTGACAGTAGAATCCGATGATCCAGTTATAATCACCCTCTCGTCATACTGGAGACATAGGACAGAACCCGTGTGGCCTGTGAGAATTCTCTTGCATTCCAACGTGCTTTTATCCCAGATCTAGGAGGGCAAACAAGATCCGTTTGATCACTGTGATAATGGGGTGCTGCAGAGACTTGCTGGCTCTATTATGTGTTTGATACCCCCAAAGAATCAAAGCTCAGAGTAGTGTGGAATGCATTCTTTTCGCTAAGCACCTACATAGATGTGGCTTCAGTACTAATGCAGACTTTATCCTTTTCATTAAGGAACAGGGAGAGCCTGTAATTATGAGGGCTAAGAGTAATAGCTCATTCAGTGAACTTCAAGAAGAGAATTTAACAACCCATTTATATGCTCTTCTTGAGGGAAGCAGGTATCTGTTCTTTAAAAAACTGATTTTGGCTTTGGGACTAGAAACAACCTTCAATGCTCACTTACTTCCTGGAAATAAAACTTAGAACTTATGCTTTGGATTGTTTTATGAATGTGGTCACCCTAGCTTCTTCGGCTACTTACCCACACCTGAAGAAATCTCACCTTGATAGTGTTGTCTCGAAGGCCGCTTACTATCTTCTGATCATCATACTGCAAACAGTAAACTCCTTTGCTTGTTTCACTTCGGCAGTGAATTCTCTGTAAACTATGCCTACCACATCTCCAATTAGATTCTATTGTCTGAGAAGAAGGAATGGTAAAGAGGTAGTAATTAGGAAAAGAACAAAAGTAAACACTTATCTAACTTTCATGCAACCAATGACAAATGCTCAATGTCTAAGGCAAACTAAAAGTATGTTCTCTCGCTCTCTCGCTCTCTCTCTCTCTCTCTCTCTCTCTCTTCCGCCCCCCTTCCACTTTCTCAATGGAAAAATATCCTTGGATGAGGATTAACAAACAAACAAACAAACAAACAAATGCCACTACTTAAAATTATAAAACATTTTTTCATTTGTAAAGTAATTAAAGATTTATTTTCTAGAACTCTTTATAGAATTCATTCAAGTAAAAAATAAACCTGGTAGAAAGAGACTGCTCATGACAGAAGACAATCTATGAACCACATGAAGTAACGTGCTCAGTGGGCTTCCGCCATGGTGGTCATTTCTACCAGTGAATCTCCATGGAGGCTCAATTGAGAAGATATCTGAATATCAGGTTAAGAGTGCAACTTTAGCAGTCTCACTGATATTATATGAAGACATCATAATCTCTCTCTTTCTCTCTCATTTATCAATCCATCCATCCATCTGTCAGTAACGACTTTAAACACAAATCTTTGCCTGGCAATTTACTATATTTTACCTACTCTATTCTCTTATGAAGAAATTGATTTTTAACTCACATCAATAAACCTTAATGGGTTTGCTGTAACAATGCTGTTACTGAAGATGTTGATGATTCTCTAGTATTTGGCAAATACCCAAATATACATAGATTCTTACCTCAATGTCTTGTATGATTTTAGGATAAAGTGCTCTATAAAAAGAGTTGGGAGGAGCATTCCCATCAGGAGGTTTGTTTTTGAATAAATACTGTCCCCTAAAAAAACACAAATATTTCATAATAAAAATCATAATTTTATGCATTCACAAGGAGTCTCATATTTCTTCAAAGTGTTTTCACATTCATCATTCCATAGTTTCCATAACTAGCCTGGAGAGGAATGAAGTTAAGTCTGGATTCAGGAGTCCCACATCAAGGAGTAACTTTCTGGGTTCTAAGGAACTGCACCAATATCGATTTGCTTTTGGGAAAAACATGATTTCCAGTGTAGAACATTGAGTATCAGGCCTTCAGAAATATTATAAAGCCAATACTTAAATGAAATACATATAATCAGAATCCAACTATTGGTCTCTTAGACCTCTGGAAAGACAGATTTATTGGCCTTATCTTTTGAAAATATTACTCATGATGATATCTTTGTACTACTAGGCACATGTCCCACAGCCTTTTTTTTCACGGAGTAAGGCTGTGCTAGTCAGTGGAGCCTTGCATCATGAGCAGCAGGAATGCCTCTGTCACAAAGAACACTTTTTTTGTCTTCATTTATGGGGTTAAGGTTTGGTGGCAACTCAGGCACCCTGGCGATCAGTGTAGCTATGCTTGAAAGGAGCAATTCAGTTCATTTGCACAGAAAACAAAGGATCACAGGAGTGTTCAGAAGCAGGTATGGAAGAAGATAGAAATGCCTAAAAGCACTGTGCTGTCAAGTCTAAAGCATGAAATTGACTTTCACAGGTGTGTTCCTGGCTATGTACATACATACACACATTTTACTGCCTTTCCTTGATTCCAGTGAGCAACATTTGTTAGCATCTCCTTCCTTATGACAGCACATCTTTGGAATGCTCATATCCCAAGCTAGATCTTTGCTACCAAAAAAAATCAGTAAATGGCAATCACTTCCTGCTGGGTAAAAAATTTAATTCCTTATCCTGAAGTTAAGAACCCACCAAACACGGTGTGGAAGCTAGTAAACCCCACTATGGGTGTACTAACTGCTGTTCTCACTGGCACTGTGCCTTGCAAAGTGGAGATAGGCAGAAATGCCTCTGAGTGTAATCCTGGCACTAGAGAAATCATGTTTTCTCTGGGCCAGTCATCTACTCCTCCCTCTATAGCTCCATTACAATATAATTAATTGTTTGATGTCTCTAGGAGCGCTTCTCTCCTGCCCTCTTCCTATTATACACCTTGAAAATTAGTTGAGAGAATTTCCTATCAGAAAGGTAGCTGCTGGCTCTGACTTCTGTGTTAATACGGAAAGGGAAATCTGCAATGGAGATACTAAAAAATAGTTTTAAGAAAGGGACAAATAGGAACAAGCAATAGGATACTCCAACATAAAAAAAAAAAAGGGAGCAAACAAGATACACTGAAGTAATTCTTGCTTTAAAAAGTTAAACTCTTCTCTAAACAATCTTATTCTAGCAACACACTGCAGACAAACAATAGATTCTGAATGAAGAAATTCTAAATCTGGTTAATAATTATAATTTAATGACTTCAACTCCAACATCCTTTAATGAGGTAGGAATCACTACATTAATTTTACAGATAAAGAAATCAAACACCAGGGAGGTTAAGAAACTTGCCCAAGGTCACATAGCTAGTGAGCAGAGCTGAGGTTTGAATCTAAGTCTGACTTCAGATCCCATACTCTGAAATATTTTATTTTCTCTCAATGTCCACCATTCTTCAGAGATTTCTGTCCTCTTTTTATTTTTTTTTTAAAAAAATATATATATATTATTGATTTTTTACAGGGAGGAGGAGAGAGGGATAGAGAGCTAGAAACATCGATGAGAGAGAAACATCAACCAGCTGCCTCTTGCACACCCCCCACCAGGGATGTGCCCGCAACCAAGGTATATGCCCTTGACCGGAATTGAACCTGGGACCTTTCAGTCCGCAGGCAGACGCTCTATCCACTGAGCCAAACCGGTTTCTGCTCCTGTCCTCTTTTTAATCTCTGCAATTATACACAGGCATCCCAGGATTTCTTCATAATTAATGAAACTATTTCTATATTCTAAGGAAAGAGAAATTATATAAACCTGTGATCATTTTCTACTGCACCACAGTTACGATGGCTTGCAAAAGTATCCGAATTTCTTCATGTTAGAGGTGTTACAAAAAAGGGTGGCTAGGTATTTAAAACTGGTTTCTCAGATTATAAGTCAAAATCTTTTATGATGGAAGCTCTTTGACAACAGGGAACACTTTTATATGATATACCTAGTACCTCTGAGAGTGTGAGTACATGCTAAATGCTAAATATTAAATTCAGAATGTTTTCATAAAATGTGACCTGCTAATTAAGAAAATAGACTTTCCCCAAGTTGTCTTTTATTATACTTTTAAGAGTTAACCATTACTGAGCAGAGAGAGCACATTCAGTATTGTTTAAGAGAGAAGATGGAATTTACATAGGGTCAGACTAATTCATTTAGATATAAATTACAATAGCAAAGTAGAAGTTAAACCCAAAACTTTATTAGAAAACTATATTTACTTATTTAAATATTTTTGGTTGGACGAAATGGGCAAAACTATCAATGACAGCATTTGGGGGACTTGATTGATATAGTAGGCTTGGTAAGCTAACTTAAAAGAATAAAATGAATAACTGACCATGTACTAAAATTTTTTTGGTTTAAGTGGGGGGAAGACACTAACACAGGAAGAAAGGCAACATGTAAAAATAGAAGCAGCCACAGAAAGTCCAGGTGATACTGGAAGTGGAAAAAAAACATATAATTTCATGGGGTTACATTAAGCTAAGATGAGAAATGTGGCCAAAGACAAAGGAATATAATAGTCAGGACTCTGAAGGATAGTCAAAAGAGCAGGAGTGGGTTCCTATGGCTGAAGAGATAGGGGAAAGAGGGATAATTACAGTTGGATCCTGGATTATTTCTCAGTTATACCTTCACACACCCCTTTTAAAAAGCCCCAAAGCCAGTTTTCATTGATCTCATATTTTTTCCTGTATAACTAACATAACAGATCTTGCTGTTGAGTGTCAACTCTAAGCAAAATTGTGAAGACTGTGTTGATTTTGTTAATTTTACATGTATCTGCTCAAATCTGCCTGTATACTTCTTGTTCTCACTATCTTAAAAAAAAAAAAAAAAAAAAAAAAAGACTGTAAACTCCCAATGTCTGATAAAGGTTCACTATCCTTTATAGTCCAAATGGGACCAAAGTGTATTTTAACAGGGAACAAAACCTTTATAGCTATGGGGATGAATCTCTATAACGGAAATTTCAGGTCAGGAGTGATTTGGAGGAGAGTTTCTTTTCATTCCCTCCCCCCCTTGAGGGTCAGAGAAATAGTCCTAGCTGCCCTACAATGTTCCCATGTAAGCAACCGCCTGCTCTATTTCTAAGGATGGTCTTGGCACACTTAACAAAATAATGGACTCTGAATACCATACAACTACATACTATTTTGTTTTTTATACTATAAAGAATTTATTTCCAAAGTATGGCATAAGTTATGAGAGATAAGGTTTCTATTTTTCTATATAGTGAAATAAATGAGGATAGAAAAATATTTGGGGAAAGAGAAATAATAGTATGCTTTAATTTATGCAATTTTCACATAGCCAAACAATTGCCTGGCATTTTCTCCTCTTAACTGAATTTGAGAGAAATGTTAAAGTCTTTCTAATAGCCAGAATGACAGACTCTCTTGTAGCACTTGGTATAAAATTTACAGGGCATTTGTTTATTATATACTAATTAATTTCAAAGATAAAAGGGAGCCAACTATATTATAATGAAAATTGCTAAGAAAAGCTGATCCTCCATTTTTAATTGTTTTATATCTCTTTATGATCTAAGGTAAACAACTGATAAAATTCATTGCTCAGAATAATATCAAGCATAATATGCCTGCTGATGCATATCTATCAACTAAAATATTTAATGTCACCTTTATTTTATGGAAATATTCATAGCTGACTTTCTTATAGTGACATTCTAGTGACATCCTGTGAGAGCAAATTATATATAGAAGAATCTTCTAGAAGTTCTAGCAAAATGGTACCATTACATTAAGAAAACAACAAAACTGATAAGTCTCAGACTGCTAACTATAAAATGCCTTAAAGAATTCAAGCTTAAGCAGTAAAATCTTGAAAAAATATGTCTTATGAAAAAAATCATTATTTATACCAAATCCCATTTTTCATTTTTCTGATGGCCATAGCTCTTATTCTAGTTGGGCATAAAAAATAATTTTGATTACAAAGGCAATAAAATACCCCAGGCATGGGCTAAAGGCAAGAAATCTTCTAAAGGAGAAAATAATTATTTGTTCTGGATTGTTTTAGGGGAAAGTAGATCTGATGGCATCTACATGATTCAAAGTCATCTACTTGCCTTATAAATTGCCCCTCAGCCCTTTTTCAGAATACTGTTTCTGCCCAGAGAACAGAATGCTTTCAACAGGAAGGCTAGTCTGGTTTTTCGTTATTTTTTTGCAAAGCAGTGTTAACGTATTATTATGTCATTTATGTGTGATTGGTCAGAAAAAAAAAAAAACTGCTTAGTACATGAGCAACTAACTATTCTACATTTTTTTCTATAAGCCAGCAAAATCACTGTATTCAATGAGAAACGGTCTCACTGGTTCCTGACAACATTCCAGTGAATGAGTGGCCAGGTCCCGAAGCTCCAACAGTAAGAAAGTTAAAAGGCTCACCATCCTCTTCGTTCTGCCAGGCCTCTCCACAGAGAATCTGTCCTGACCATTCTCTCGATGAGCTTTTTCCATAACATGCCATCGGATGTTACTCGGTACCATTCCTTGCACACAAGCTCAGCAGCACATAGTGATTTGGCATCCAAGTATGACAGAATGTTCTCAGCAATGTGATCCAAACCCCGAGCTTTTGGTGGGGAAGGAGGCAAAGAAGAACATAGATGGTAAGTGATTTTTTTACAAAAGGTCTTTGAAACAAACAGCATTTATTCTGTTATGAAGGCACATCACTGTCCCTAGTGTGGTCCAGTTTCTTTTTCAAACAGAAACTTAGGTCAAATGAATGTCAATAATTTTTCCATAAGGTTACAGAAATGAACAGTATTTTCTATCTTCTTTTAGATAAGGAAGTTAAAGCTAACATCCAGCAAACCCCCCAAGACATTAAAAATAAAAAGGATTCCAGAAAACAATTCACATCTATCTGTATGGATTTCAGCACTAGGGGATGTTCTATGGATGGCATCTCAAACCCTGTGATTCAGACCCCCCCAAATCTCTATATTAGGTCCATTTCTCATTCCGTTTCTATTACTGCTGCAGTTCCAAAGCTGTTCAGTAAAAGAAATATCCTTTAAATGTACTGGGGGAGAGGCACTAAGTCAGAATGTGCTGGCTATAGAATTTTGGGCATGCAGAAAGGAGAGAAGGAAATATAGATTGGTATAGGAACATCCCAAGAGGAAAGACAAAAAGGAATGTTTAAGTTCAAGGATGAATTTAATTTCAGATGTTTAAAAAAAACCTATATTTGAGAATAGTTGCTGCTATAAAACCTAAATGACAGTACCAAAAAATGAAAACAATCCCAGACCAATAGATAACTTGGTTAGAATTTCAGAGACTATTTTGTAGGATGTACAGAGCAAAACACAGTGGAAGTAGATCTTCAGCTGAGTAAACTAGATGGGCTTCCCAATTAAAACTTTTCTACCACTCAAATCTACGAGGCCTCAGAGGAACAGATCCTATGAAATAGGATGCTCTCACTAAGAAACTTTTGGCTGCTGTTCTAATTCACAAGTGAGACAAAAACATTCAAAGTTCCTTCTTTTTACATGTTACATATCAAAAGTTTGCTAAAGACTTAAATAGTGCAGAAGGATTCCTTCAAACTTGACTCCCTTAGGCACAACTTAAACAGAACAGAATGCCATATTCCATCTTGTGCCTTTCCCCTGAATCATTTGAAGACACACTTGGATGCCATTAGCAACAATCCAAATGTATTTAAACATTATTGTAATTATAAAGATTGTATGGATATTATCACACTTTTCAGAAGATTTAGAAAACGTGTTAAGTGGATCTTATTTAGCTAGCATCACATTCATATATATATGTATATGTATTATTTTTAAACCTCATCTGAGGATATGTTCACTGATTTTAGAGACAGGAAGAGGAGAGAGGGAGGGAGAATTGGAGGGAGGAAGGGAGGGAAAGGGAGAAACATAAGTTGCCTCCCATACAGGCCCCAAACTGGTAACCTGGGTATATGTCCTGACAGGGAATCAAACCCAAACCTTTTGTGTACAGGATGACACTCCAAGCAACTGAGTCACCAAGTCAGGGCAATCACATTTCATATTTAAGCATAAGCAGATGGAATACCCATCACCTCATTCTTATTAAAGGAACGTGATTAAATATAATTAAAATATAAAAATTAGCTCTTCATGCAAAATACAGTGATGGTACAAATCCTGCTTCTTTATACAGAAACTTTCTACACCATTAGAAGTTTCCAAAATCCATTCCTGTGCTTTTAATGGCTGCCATCAAATTGCTCCTGATCTTTCACAATGTCCCTATAATAAGTCTTTGGAAGTAATTTCACCTAACACTCCAAACAAACCCATTTCATTAATGGATTATAGGCATTTTTTGAAGTAGTTTGGTTTACTAAATGTAGCCAGATGGTATAGGTTCATAAGTCAAAATGGCTGTACAGCATTAGACTGATGATTTAATATCTTATAAAGTGGTCAGCAGATACACACCAGGAATCACTATTAGGTAAAGGGATACACTGGTCTAATCAACTCCTGTTCAATTCATAGTGGTATATGCTTGAGATAGTAGCATGTCTCAGCGAAGGGGGAGAGCACAGTAATGAGGTACACATAGGTTGTTCGCAAAGAAAACTGCCTGTGGCTAAAACAAAATCCAGTGAGTGAAGAGGGGGCAGAAATATATTCTATTTAACAAAAGACACAAGTACAAATTCAGCTTTAAAATGGTTATCTCTAAGTCATAAACAGACATTTCTTTTGTTTTTAAGGGCAATTTAAAATGCAATTTTAGAAAACAAAAATTTTAAAAAGTTATAATTGGCAAAGATTAAGCAAGTGATAATAAGCATTTTTAGGGAGAGTGTAAGTTGGTATATTTTTCTTAGACGATAGTTTGGTACATGTGAGAAAAGCTTTAAAATGTTTACGTGTGTGTATATATAGGTATGTGTGTGTGTGTATATATATACATGTAATATTATTATAATAGGTATTTGATTACTGTGCACAATGAGATTATAAAGCTGTGATATTTAATGTCACAGCAAGGCTGTGGGGATAATCTTCTTTCTAAAATCCTAAAAAATGTTTTTTACTCATTCCTACAGTTTAAATATTCTGTTGATAAACTCTCTTAGAAATCCAAAGCCAAGTATATAAGTTAACATATATTGAAACTTAGATACATCTTAAACCAGATAATGTTTCAGAAAAGATGTTACTTGGACCAGTGGGTGGGTAAATATGGTGAGTAAAAGAGCATGAGATAGGGAGAAGATAGGGAAAAGAGCAGTTTCTATCTCCAAAATTTTATTTTTATTTTTTTGTATTTATACCCCAAGAAGGTATGATTAAAAATGTTTGTAAAAATGGAGAAGAAGAAAAAAAAAGACTTGAAAAAAGATGTACAGCTAAGCTCCAGTACCATTACCATTATAACATATCTTCCAGGCAAATTAACGGCTCACAAACACCCGTAGACATACCTGGCAGAGCAGTTATGAAATCCCTCTGCAGCATAGGTTTAAGGTACGAGTTTATGTGCCCATGCTGGTAATGACACATTTGGGATATAAGATGTTCCACAAATTCCACTTGATCGGATTCTGACCACTGCTCAAAATATTTGACACACAGTTCCTTTTCCTTCTCATAGCTTGCCGAGAGTTTCCGTTGTTTGGGCACAATCATACTGGAAGTGCCATTGGCAAGTTTTGTCTGTAGGAAGGGTGGATTAAAAACACACACATAACAATAAGTACTGAGAATGAGGGAATATATAAATTGTTGGTCTTGCATGCTATGTTATGTCTATAAAATAAAGCTCACTGTTACACTTAGTAATTGAATGTTTGTGAACAGTAATTACAATAGAAGACACAGAAAAACCATAGTAAGTTGGTAAACTGGGAATATTGCTGAATGAGTAGGCATCTATTTCCGAAAGTTCGTAGGAAGACATTATTTGGGGATATATGGAGATGGAAACCAAAAGCTGAAAGCATGTTGTTACTATTCCTAGCAAGCCAAAAAAGCTAATTTCCTTTTTCTTTTGCCAGGCAAAGGAATTTGGCCTAATTCTGCAGAAAATGGTTAAACAGCAAAGCTTCTTGGATAAGAATAAGTAGAAAATGTAAGAAATGGCTTTGCAGTTAGGGCAGAAGTGGCACACAGCTCTGCACTGAGGTGCTGCGGGATGGAGGCCTGGTGAAAAGAACCACGAGCAAGTTCTGTCTTCACTTCTCGTGGGGGTGTAGGCTGGGTTATCTCCTTATTTTCATTCTTCCATTGATTTGTCCTATTCTCTTTAAGGCTTATATAAAACCTTTTTTCCTATTTTAAAATACATTAATTTTTAATTTGCTTTTTCTTGTATATATCAGTTACTAGACATTTATACAATTACCGACAACTTATTTTTTAATAGTCAAATAAGAAATCCTCCATACAAAGAAAGGCCAATGACTAATTTGAGACTATGGTACTTTGGAACTAAAGCTCAAAATAACATTTATATCCTTCATTTACCCTTCCTCCCCCCAAAAAAAATCCCATCTCCACTGTCATCAAAATTAAATGCCATAAAGTCTTTTTTTATTAATTGGTTCAGTCAATAAATATTAATTAAGCATTTACAACATGCCAAACATTATCCTAGGTGCTAGGAATACAACACTGAACAAAAATAACAGTCTATCACTGAGGGAACTTATGTTCTAGTGTGTACAGCAAGTTAAAAACAACCAAATAAATGAAGAAAACTAAAGCAGGATAGAGGATAGGCAAAATTATACGATGGTCCCAAGAAGCTTGGCTACTGATGTAAACACATCTTTCAGTTTTTCAAACAAACATGTAGATACTGCTGTGATTTAATTAAGGTCCCAAATTAGTTGACCTTAAGGTTGGGAGGTGTACTCTGGTGGGTCTGATCTAATCAAATGAGCCCTGTAAAAGCAGAGTTGGTGGCGGAAGAGGAAGGACACCATCTGGCAAGGAATGAAGGCAGCCTCTAAGAGCTGACAGCCAGTAAAGAAATGGGAATCTCAACCCTACAAAGGCAAAAAACTGAATTCTGCCAACAATAATGAGAGAAGAGAATTCCCCCTAGAGCCTCTGGATGAGAACTGGCCAACCCTTGATATATTTTTTTTAATCCTCACCCAAGGATATTTTTTTCATTGATTTCCAGACTCACATATAGTCAGTTGATTTTTGAAAAAGGTACTAAGATAATTCAATTGGGAAAGGATAGTCTTTTCAACAAATGATGCTAAAACAATTGGGTATCTGCTTAGAAAAATGAACGTGCAGATAAAAATTAACTTTAAGTGGATTCTGGATTTATATGTAGAACTTCTAGAAAAAAAATATGAGGAATCTTGTTGCTGTTTGGGTAGGCATACATTTTATAGATAAATCAGTATGTGGTAAAATTTTAAACTTATAGTTTGAACCCCCCCCAAAAAAAAAAAATTCAAGTAATAAACTATGAGAAAAATATTCGCAATATATGTATTTGACAAAGGACTTGTATCTAAAATATATAAGGAACTCCCACAACTCCGTAAGAAAAAAAAATAACTCTTTTCTTTAAGACTTGGAGAGACACTTAAACAAAAAAAGATCCAGGAATGGCCAATAAGCAAATGAACACCATTAGTGACTAGAAAACGCAAATTAAAATCACAAGACCCCACTACAAACTTACTAGAAGGGCGAAAAGTAAAGAGACTGACCCTACCAAGTATTGGCAAGAATGAGGAGCAATTGGGTCTCTCATACATTGCTGGCAGTAATGTTTACTGGTACAACCACTTCTGAAAAACCGATGGACAGTTTCTTATAAAGTGAAACATACTTATTACATGAGCCAGCAATTCCACTCTTAGGTACTTATTTCCCCAAATAAAAACTTATTTCCACACAAAACACTTGCACATGAATATTCATAGCTGCTTATTAATAAGAGTCCCCACTGTCCATCAGGAGCTGAATTGATAAAGTTACAGATACACAAAATGACAAGGATAAATCTCAAAAACGTGCTGAATAAAAGAAGCCCGGCACAAAAGAGTACATACTTTGATTCTCTTTATATGAAACTCGAAGGACAACAAATCCAATTTATAATAATAAAAACAAATCAGTGGTACATGGGGCTGAATGTGGGCAGAAGAGTTTTGGGGCAATGAAAATGTTCTGTTGTTACACAGGTGTACTAGTATACAGTTGCCAAAATTCATCAAACTGTATACTTTCAATGGGTGTATTTTATTATATGTAAATTACCTTAATAAAATTGATTTTAAAGCTTCTAAGGCTAGGGTATTCTAAGGATAAATGCCACTGTAATATTAATTTGATTTGTAACGAAGATATTGTATTTGTAGAGATAACAAAGGTAAAGGCCTTTGTTATCAACCCTCTTCCTTCTATCATTCTCCCATACAGATTTTCCTACTAATGTCTGAAGTAAATGCAGCAAAATTTCAATTTGAGAGCCTTTAAAAATCCACAGGGTACAGTGAAAAAGTTCACTTATTAAAAACCCAAAAGGTTGTATATTAGAGTGTATGGGCGAGAGGGTAATGGTTATTGGTGGCAATAGAATTGATTTGGCCTTCCCAACATAAGCCCAATGACTCAACCACTACAGTTCAAATGTCTAGGAAAGCTGACAAACAACCTCAGTTTAATGGTAACACTAATTTTCTGCCACCCCTGCACATCTCCTTTTCTGCTTTTCTGTTTACAATGAACAGTTATCTCCAAAAGAAAGAAGAAAGAAGCTGTCAGGTGACAAGCACACAAAATGAAAGAAAAGTATTTATATGACTGTCCACAGCTTAGTCCTCAAAGGCTAAGGGCTAGCATTCCCCACCCACGCCTCCTCCTCCCCACCCCCGAAGACACAGTACAAAATTACCATAAATTTCTCTGACGCCGCCGTAAGGGCCAGGATAGAAAAATACACACTTGCAGACACCAACTAGTCTAACCAGCACACCTTGTACTATTAAGTGTGCTGACTTTGCCACCTGTATAGGTTGGAAGACATAGCATGAACTGGCTAAACTTGATGCTAAAATGACAGATATTTCTAATTTGCATGCAAAACCTTCTTTATTTAACCAATAAGATGGGCATGGTAAGTAGAGAAGGAAAATGTTCCAGACATAGAACACTACTTGCGATTAGGGGAGCAAGGCCTAGGTAAAGAGTAATATTTACGACTAGAGAGATGCAAATGATATTTAAGGATTCTGTGTGGCTTTAAGAAGGGCTTTGATGAAAGAATGGCATTGAAACCCACAGTAGGGGGAAGAAGATATAATGATTAATAGGATGCAACAATGTAAGAATGCAATGGGCAAGGGTTGTGCTGGGGGTAAGGCTATATGTTTCTCTCATGAAACTTTAGAGTTATCAAGCAACCAACAACCATTTATTGAGTGACTATTCTGTTCTGGGCATTTTTCTAGGTGCTAGGGAAACTGGAGAGAAGAGGCACACAAAGTTTCTTTATCTTCTCCTGGGAATGGTAGAGGCAGAATCCTATATAATAAAAGCCTAATATGCAAATTGACCAAACAGTGTAACAACTGGTCAGTAGGGGGTGGGGCCAGCAAGTGGACAATGTCAGGCCAGCCAAGGTGGGTACTAATGGGCAGAAGGAGGGGGCTGCAATCAAGGGATGGCGATGACTAGAGGCAGTGAAGGGGTAGTGGGGGGGGGGGGCAGGGCCGGCTATTTGCCAGCTGGAGCCATCCCCTGATGGGCCCACTGGTTGCCTTCTGCAGAGGGAGGCCAGACTCCGGCTTAGGCTCTCTTCCCGTGGGAAGCAGGCCTAAGCTGTCAGTCAGACATCCCCCAAGGGCTCCTGGATTGTAAAAGGGTGCAGGCTGGGCTGAACTCTCCCTCCCCCCAGTGCACAAATTTTTGTGCACCAGGCCTCTAGTGTATATAATAAATATATTAATTCCAGAAACCAGTAAGTATTGTGAAGAAAACAAAAGATGGTACATTAAATAGGGAGTGAGTAGTACAGCATACTTTAACTGAGGTGGTCATGAAATGATAACATATGAACTGAAATTTAAATGTAAGTCAGTCTTCTGAAGATCTGGGGAAAGGCCTTCCAAACAGAAGAAGAGCAAATCAAAGCTGTGTTCAGGTGAAAGAAAGAAGGCTAATACGCTGGGACAGTGAATGAGGGGGGTGGGGGGACACTGGTGAGAAATGAGGTTAGTGAGGTGGCTGGGGGCCAGATCATATAAGGCCTTCTGGGCCTCAGTAAGGAGTATGGATTTCATCCTAAGTGTAAAGGAGAACCCCTAAGGCTTTGAAGTAGTCAAATAGAACATCATCTGATTTATGCTTTAGAAATATTTACACTCGCTGCCACACAGAAAATGGTGGTGAAGGATGGGAAGGTAGGAAGAGGATAACAAAAACAAGCTGTGAGAGCAGAGGCAGGAAGACTAATCAGAAGTCTGATAAAATAATCCTGCAAGTGGTGATAGTGGCTAAAATGAGAAAATTAGAAGAAAGGTATTTTACCCTCACAACAGAGAAAGAAAGAGGGCCTGTTGAGAATATAAGTCCTGGTTATAATACCCATTTATTTCAGTATAACATTTTAATGATCCTTGAAATATTTAATCTGATACATTGAATGGGGATTGAACCAGGGTTCTTGCTCCTGTAGCCAAGAC